CTGCCCGCGGACTTCAAAGTGGAGGAGAACGGTGGGTGTGCGGGATCGCCCCTGAACACAGACCCAGCCCGGGGGCGGTGACCTGAGAGGCTGCCTGGAATAGAGACCAGACAGGGTTAAAGGAATAAAGTAGGATTTAAAATAAATATTTATTAAAATAATATTTTAATTATATTATTAATTATATTGTTCAATATAATTATTTAAAATAATTGTTATTTAATGTAATTATTAAATATAAATATTATGTAATATAATAATCATACAGAGTTAAAGGAATAAAGTAGGATTTAAAATAAATATGTATTAAAATAATATTTTAATTATATTATTATATAATAATATAATAATAAAATAATAAAATAATTATATAATAATTATATTATTATGTTAATATAATTATTTTTAATATAATTATTATTTAATATAAAAATTATTAAATATAATAATCATACAGAGTAAAAGGAATAAAGAAGGATTTAAAATAAATATTTATTAAAATAATATTTTAATTATATTATTAATTAGAGTATTTAATATAAATGTTATTTAATGTAATTATTTAATATTATTATTTAATATAGTAATCATACAGAGTTAAAGGAATAAAGTAGGATTTAAAATAAATGTTTATTAAAATAATATTTTAATTATATTATTAATTATATTACTTAATATAGTTATTATTTAATAAAATTATTATTTAATATTAAAATTATTTAATATAATAATCATACAGAGTTAAAGGAATAACGTAGGTTTTAAAAAATAAATATTTATTAAAATAATATTTTAAGTATATTATTAATTATATCACTTAATATAATTATTATTTAATATAATTATTATTTAATATAAAAAGTATTTAATATAGTAATCATACAGAGTTAAAGGAATAAAGTAGGATTTAAAATAAATATTTATTTAAATAATATTTTAATTATATTATTAATTATATTACTTAATATAGTTATTATTTAATATAATTATTATTTAATATAAAATTATTTAATATAATAATCATACAGAGTTAAAGGAATAAAGTAGGATTGAAAATAAATATTTATTAAAATAATATTTTAATTACATTATTATAGTATTTAATATAATTATTATTTAATGTAATTATTTAATATAAAAATTATTTAATATAGTAATCATACAGAGTTAAAGGAATAAAGTAGGATTTAAAATAAATATTTATTAAAATAATATTTTAA